TACGTTGATCGAAAACAAAAACCGCGTCGGGGGCAATTTCGTCATTTCTCTCGATTGTGTCGGAATGGGCTAAAATTTGACAAGTTGATCGGAAACAAAAACTGCGTCCGGGGCAATTTAGTCATTTTTCGCGACTGTGTCGGAATGGGCTCAAATTTGACAGGTTGATCGGGAACAAAAACCGCGCCGTGGCTAATTTCGTCATTTTTAGCGACTGTGTCGGAATTGGCTAAAATTTGATAGGTTGATCAGAAACAAAAATAGCGTCGGGGGCAATTTAATCATTTTTCGCGACTGTGTCCGAATGAGCTAAAATTTGACTGGATGATCGGAAACAAAAATCCAGCCGGGGGCAATTTCGTCATTTTTCTCGACAGTGTCGGAGTTGGCCTAAATTTGGCAGGTTGATCGGAAATAAAAATCGCGCCGTGGGCAATTTAATCATTTTTTGCGACTGTGTCGGAATGGGTTAAAATTTGACTGGTTGATCGGAAACAAAAATCGCGTCGGGGCAATTTCGTCATTTTTCGTGACTGTGTCGGAATGGGCTCAAATTTGACAGGTTGATCGGGAACAAAAACCGCGCCGGGGGTAATTTCGTCTTTTTTCACAACTGTGTCGGAATTGACTAAAATTTGATAGGTTGATCGGAAAAAAAATCGCGCCAGGGGCAATTTTGTTATTTTTCGCGACGATGTCGAAATGGGCTAAAATTTGACTGGTTGTTCGAAAACAAAAATCGCGCCGCGGGCAATTTCATCATTTTTCGTGACTGTCGGAATGGGTTAAAGTTTGACTGGTTGATCGGAAACAAAAATCGCGCCGGGGGCAATTTCGTCATTTTTTGAAACCGTGTCGGAATGGGCGCAAATTTGACAGCTGATCGGAAACAAAAACCTCACCAGCGGTAATTTCGTCATTTTTAGCGACTGTGTCGGAATGGGCTAAAATTTGACCGATTGATCGGAAACAAAAAATCGTGCCGGGGGCAATTTCGTCATTTTTCGCGACTATGTCGGACTGGGCTAAAATTTGACAGGTTGATCGGAAACATAAATCGCGCAGGGGGCAATTTCGTCATTTTTCGCGACTGGGTCGGAATGGGCTCAAATTTGACTGGTTGATCGGGAACAAAAACCGCGCCGAGGGTAATTTCGTCATTTTTCGCAACTGTGTCGGAATTTGCTAGGTTGATCGGAAATAAAAATCGCACCGGGGGCAAATTTGTCATTTTTCTCGACTGTGTCGGAATGGGGTAAAATTTGACTGGTTGATAGGAAACAAAAATCGAGACAAGGGCAATTTGGTCATTTTTCGCGACTGTGTCGTAATGGGTTAAAATTTGACAGGTTGATCGGAAACAAAAATCGCGCCAGGGGTAATTTCGTCATTTTTTGCGACCTTGTCGGAATGGGTGCAAATTTGACAGCTGATCGGGAACAAGAACCGCGTCCGGTAAATTTCGTCATTTTTTCGCAACTGTGTCGGAATTGGTTAAAATTTGACAGGTTGATCGGAAACAAAAATCACGCCGGGGGCAATTTCGTCATTTTTCGCGACGGTGTTGTAATGGGCTAAAATTTGACTGGTCGATCGGAAACAAAAATCGCTCCGTGGGCAATTTCGTCAGTTTCTCGACTGTGTCAAAATGGGGTGAAATTTGGCAGGTTGATCGGAAATAAAAATCGCGCTGGGGCAATTTCGTCATTTTGCTCGACTGTGTCGAAATGGGCAAAAATTTGACTGGTTGATCGGAAACAAAAATCGCGCTAGGGGCAATTTCGTCATTTTTAGCGACTGTGTCGGAATGGAATAATTTGACAGGTTGATCGGAAACAAAAAATTGTGCCGTGGGCAATTTAGTCATTTTTCTCGACTGTGTCGAAATGGGCTAAAATTTGACAGGTTGAGCGGAAGCATAAATCGCGCAGGGGTAATTTCGTCATTTTTCGAGACTGTGTCGGAATGGGCTCAAATTTGACAGGTTGATCGGGAACAAAAATCGCACCGAGG